TCCGGTAACGATTTCACACACTTTATTTTTTTAGGAAATTTAGGGTCTGGTTTGTAATTTTAAAAATAATTTTATGTTTTTAAATAACTAAAAATAAAAAAATTATATATAAACTCTGCTTGTTTCAGTTTTCAAAAAACTCAAATTATAAAAATACGTTTTCAGGTAACTAACTTTGTCTTTTTTTATGGTCAATTCATGATTTCAAATATTTGATAGCCTTCGTCGACATTGTCCCTAAAACGAGCTTGAAAAATGTTGCTACCAGCAATTGAGATTTCAAATGATTTCCAACTTGCAAGTCATTGTCAATCATTTCTGTTAAGATATGTAATTCTAATGAATTTGATATGTTTTGTGTAAGAAATCAGGCATATGTGATATTAAATAAAAGAGTAAAGTATAGTCACACCCTCTGAAATTTGGCAAAAAGACACTTAAAGGAAACTTATATATTTTTTTGACAAAGACATCCCCTGAAGGTTCAAAAATGGACAAAGACACCCATTTACATGAAAAATTGACCAAATTACTCTTTAACCGTTTAGAAGACTTTTTTAACTTTACAATTTAATAAATTGGACCAATCTACCCTCATGAACAATTTATCCCCAAAAAAAAGTTAAAAAAAAAAAAACTTTATATTGTTCACTTTTTTTTTTTTTTGTTATTTACTTTATAAATGTCTCAACTTCTTAAAAATGTAGACGTCTAAAATGATTTTTTGATCCAATACATATATTTCAAATAATATATATTTTGTTATTATTTCTTTTCTTTTTCTTTTTTATTTTTAAATTAAGACGCTTAATTCTTTCATCTAAAAAAATTAAACCAAATTTTTTTCCTTAAAAATAAAAAATATGGTATTAGTATAATTTTATGCATCTTAAATTATATATCAAATATTATGTATTTCCCAACATAAAAGGAAAAAAATAATAATAAAACAAATGGAAAAAAAATAATAAAACAAAGGAAAAAAAATAAAAATAAAGGCATGCATAAAGTTAAGATGCATAAAGTTATACTGGTACCAGTTTTCCTTTATAAGAAGTTGGGACATTTATAAAGTAAATAACAAAAAAAAAAAAAAAGTGAACAATATGAAGTTTTTTTTTTATTTTTTTATTTTTTTTATGCATAAATTATTCATGAGGGTAGATTGGTCTAATTTTAAATTGTAAAGTTAAAAAAAGTCTTAAAAAAAAAAAAAAGTGAACAATATAAAGTTTTTTTTTTTTTTTTTTTTTTTTATGCATAAATTATTCATGATGGTGATTGGTCCAATTTATTAAATTGTTAAGTTAAAAAAGCTTCCTAAACGGCTAAAGGGTAATTTAGTCAATTTTTCATGTAAAAGGGTGTCTTTGTCCATTTTTGAACCTTTAGGGGGTGTCTTTGTTCAAAAAATGGGTAAATTTCCTCTAAGTATCCTTTTACTAAACTTCCGCGGGGGGGGGGGGGAGGGGGTGTGGCTATACTTTACCCTTAATAGAATCTCTCTCAATTTAAAGTGGGAATCTCAATAGTTGTTATGACTCTTTCGTTCCATATTAGTTGTCAACTTAAAAAATTTTGACTTATAATTTTTGTGAGTCAAAGTTACCGAAATAGATTTCTAATATGAGATAATATAATTAAAAATAACATCAAATAGTTCAAAAATAAAAGGTGGTAATAAGTTAAAGTTTTTTAAATTAACAACTATTATGAGACGGAAGTAATATTTGTTAACAAAAATCAACTGAGACAAGATTATATTTTTTTCATAATCTACACGTAGGTGTGAAAATTGACTAGTGCACACCTAAATTCTCTTCCGCGACTCCACACATTTGATTTTTTTATAAAAAATAGTTAGGGTCTGATTTGTAATTTTGAAAATAATTTTCTATCTTCAAATAATTAAAAATAAAAATAAATTATATATAAACTTTACTTTGTTGAGTTTTCAGAAAACACAATTATAAAAGTGCGTTTTCCGATTAATTGACTTTGTGTGTAATGAGATGCGCTTAAATAGTGGTTGCATTTGTAACATACTATTTGTAGTATAGTGGTTGCGTGAATCATTTTGAAATGAAATGATGGTTAAGGAGCTAATACGATGGTTTGATTTTTTTCTTTTTATCTTTTTATTGTCCAAGGTGATTAAAATAATATGAGTAATGGCTTTTTGATTGATTCATAAATCAAGATGATATGACTTTTAAAACAATATAATCAATAATAATGGATATAAATTTTTTTTTTTTTTTCCAAAATTGGATATAAATTTCTTAATAATTTCAGAGCGGTTGGGCTGTGTGAATTGTCTTTTCTCTTGGGATATAAATCGGAGAAAAATATTCTTTTAATAATTTTAGAGCCATCAGTGACTCTATGAGTAATTAATCTTTTCTTTTAGACATTACTATGGCTGAGTTCGTCTTTTAGTGCCATATTTACTATCAATCGATGATTTCAAAGTATTTGAGAGCCATCGTCATTGTCTTTAGAACCAGTTTGAAAAATGTTGCTATGAACAATTTGTAAGCAATTTTAAAATAGTAAATATGGTTCCAATGATAAAACGTTATTTGAAAAACATACATGACATCTTTAGTAGTTTGTGTTTGAGATAAAATTATTATAGAAACACTCTTCAATATAGAAACACTCTTCAACCCTTTATCTTTGTCTGTGAAATTAAACGATGGTTTCAGACCTTTCTTTCATCTATATATATAGAGGGTCGAGACTATTTCTTAAACCTTACCAAAAAGAGACATGTTGGTTCTATTACCAACACACCTTTTAGATAAATAACAATCATAATTATAGTTATATGGTACGTTACATCTCTTAAATATAGATAATTATAAAATCATTTAAAAGTTAAAATTAATTATATACTAAGACCACAATTGAGATTTTTAATTATTTCAAACCTGCAAGTCATTGTCAATCATTTCTGTTAAGATACCCGATTCTAATGAATTTTGTTTGTTTCGTGTAAGAAATCAGGTATATATATATATAATAAATAAACAATTATTTCAACCAAAGTCCATGGACTTTGGTGTATTGATATCATAGCCATGGACTTTGGTTTGAGTCTGTATGCGGGTAAGGACTAAATGGATTGTGTCAATTGGGCTGAATGACACCATGCAAATGGAGCATACCAACTCAAGCTCATACATCTAATTTTACTGGCTTGAAAAGTGACGATACAAAAAAAATAAAATAAAAAAAATTTTAAAATGAGTGAACCTAAACAAAATGAAGATAATTTTTTTTTTTTCAAATTATAATAATAATTAAATAAAAAAACTTTAAAATTTATTGTAATTTTATTGAATATATTTACAATTATTCTTGATAAATTTTCATATTTTGAAAACTTTATATATATATGCTACTAAGTATATATTTTTCAATATACAGTAATGATGTACAACAAAAAGGTTTAAAATATATTATATTATATATAGAATAGTAGTATGTAATAATGGGAGGGTGACTTCTGAAGCCAATGTTTGTGTGTGATTGTGAATATGATAAAAGCCTAGATATTAGATAGATTGGAAAGCTGTGATTAAATAATATATACTCCCTACCTCTTGAAAACATTCTTCTCCCTCTTTTTATTTTAGAATATCTCAAAATATATCTCATTTTAAAAATAAATGTATTATTTTTTATAACACTTCTAAATTATATTTTTATTTAAATAAGTGCACAAATTATAGAGTACTCCTTTGTATTTTTAACAAAGATATATTTAAAAATTAATTCTTATCAATACAATATATATATATATATATAAAAAGTTAAATTTCCCCATACACCCTAAGAATTTTGGGACAGTGTGTCTGGCTACAGTTTAAAGAAGAGAAATATATAAGGCAAAATGTGTGTTCGGGGGTGTAAATGAATATATAAGAAAAATATGTCTTTGGAAAGTGGTATAACTATATATATATACATATATATATCTGTGTGTGTGTGAAGAGCGAAGAGGCTAACAAAAAGACACTCGTTCCTATATCTGATTTGTGTGTCAGGTTACAATTTATAAAAGATAAATGGACTAAAGTAAAATGTGGGCCTGGCGGTGGAAATGAAGATATAAGGAAAATATGTGGATGAATAAGGACCCGAACAAGGGCAGCAATTGAGGACTTGTAGTGTGAGTATAACAAATGCTCTACAAAAGAGTAGGAAAATAATTTAATTAAAGTCAAATATTGCAAGTTATAGAGTAAACATAGGGCGGCTAAAAGTCCGATTTGTATTAAAAAAATATTGAAGAGTTAACATTCAAGCCATCTTGAAATGAAAAATTAAGTAAGAAATAATAAGTTTGAAACATTTGCTTCTTTGTTACGTACATATATATATATTTTCAACATATATATTTTTCAACTTTCGTAAATACTATTAAACTATTACTTATCCATTGTCCTATTCAACTGTGTAATTGGTTCTTCACAATATTTATGACAAAAAATACACAATCTACATACTCTGTTACACGGTGAAGATTGTTAGGATCAATGTCAATGTCACGTATAAACAAATAATCTTACTAATGCACCTAATATTCCCATCCACAATTTAAGTTTTGAATTTATCATCAAGTTCCATTATAACAAATGAAAAAAATCCTTGTGGTTAAATTTGAGCAGGAAAGATTATTATTATTTTTTCAAAAGTAGAGAATTAATCATCCGACCACAAATATTTATAGAAAATAACAACTTCATTAAAATGACTATTTAACCTTAAGTTACATGTCTATAATAACATAAAGATAGAGTTAAAAAAATTCAGTGAGAGATATTTTTTATTATTATTATTTTTTAACTTGGGAGACAAATTTTAAATTTTACAAAATATTTCTTAGGTCTCAAATTAAATGTTCCTGGACAAGTGCATGATGAGAAAGAAAAATAATAATGCGTCCTCCAAGTCGAACTACTGCGTAATTTTAAATACTTTAGTCGGCTGATACGGTTGAATGCAAGGAATCATTCAAACTTCAACACTCTCTCTCTCTTTCTCTCTCTAGGATGCTCCCAAATTGCTGAACAGAAAGTGAATGATGCAAGCTGGAAAGATGAGACTAGAAAGAGACAGAGTTTAATATTTTAAGGGGAAAAAATAATAATAATAATAATAAAAAAACCATAAAAGACTATAAAAAAGCGAACAAAGATCGCGGCTTTCTCATGATCACTCTCTCCCACGGGTCAGTTCTCTCTTTCTCACGCTTTCTCTTTTTCGACTAATTTAACTACTGTTCTTGTTTTTGAATGATTGTTTACTTTTTTGGGTTTGGATTAGTTTTTTTTTTTTTTTTTTTTAAATTCTTTTTGGCCTTTTCTCCTTGAACCCTCTGCTTGGTTGCTGAGAAAACGTGGGAAAATGAAAAGACATGAGAATCCAAAATCCTATACTCAGTGGAGGAAAGGGCTTTATGCATTTCCTTTTTGAATCATTGTTTACTATCTCTAAACTTTTTTGGGTTGAATTAGTTTTTGATTCTTTTTGGCAATTTCTCCGTGAACCCTCTGCTTGGTTGCTGAGAAAACGTGGGGAAAAAGACAAGAAATAAGGTTCAAAACCCTATACTCAGCGGAGGAAAAGGCTTTATGCATTTCCTTCTTCGTTCAATCCCAATCTGGAATTTATGATCTTAGTCCTCTCACTTTACCGAGTGAAAATAATGCTTGATTGTGGAATTTATATTTTACCAATTTGTTAATACTTATTACTAATTGATGATAACTATTCAATTGCACTTTCACCCTCAGAGAATCTGAGCTTTGTTGTAGATATAATATACTCAAAACAAATTTTAATGGTTGCATTGCCATTTCCTGATAATTCATTCAGCTACAAATTTGATAGATTTTTTTTTGGTGAATTGGGGAGGTGAATCAAATTTGACCCAAATCAAACTGGGCTTAGTCTATTAAATGTGTGTGTGTGTGTGTATATATTGGTTGCATAGTTTTGTTTATGCTTAAATGGTGACATAAGTTCCTTTGGCATTAGTAATATAAGGGAATTCAAATAGTTAATTAGGAGGGGCCAGATTTGCTTACGGCAGTGCCTTCAAATTTAAAATTGGATGACTAGTTTTTTGTTTTGTGATAATTGTGTTGTTGGATGGTTCCATTACTAAATTTGTATTCTACTTTTAAAAGTCAAAAAAAGGATTTTTGCAATGCCAACGAATGCATCGGTTGATTGACCCCATCAATTTGTGGCCTGAATTTGTAAAATATAGTGCTTTGGTTTTCACCAGCTCATTTGATCGTTAAGTTGGGCTGCAGACATATTGATTATGTTTTCCATGGTGTAGTCTCTCTTCATTTTGTAGTGGGTTCACCTTATATTTCTTCCCCTGATAGAAATTGGTGAAACTCGTTCAAGGCTTATTTAAACATGTTAACAATAAAGGATTATGTACATATGTATTTATTGAGTGAAAATATTGTGCATCTCTAGGGAGTGTTTTCACCTTCAAGATGAACGTCTTGAAATCCTTACTTTGAGGCCGCGCTCTTTGCGGTTTTACTGCTAAAGCTGTAGTGAAGGTATTGATAAGCTGTATATGGAAAACAAGAAATGGTTTCGATAAAAGGGATTGTTTTTTAGGAGAATAGATGATCTAGCTACAGATCAAAATTGAGTTTTCACACCAGACGAATGTACTTCGCAGCAATGGATGATCAGCATCCTTCTTTTTATAGAAGTGATGATTTGTGATGATGAAAAAATCTGTCATCCATTAGCTCAGCTTTCTTATCCCCAAATCATCTGTAAGTCTTCGGTCTCTGTAGTTTGCTTAATCACACGATTCCATCAGCTCATAATCTAATCCATTGAATAGTGAGTAGCCTCTATTATGGTCATCCCTCATAATTAGGGTCGGTAGATAACCTAACCTTTGTTGCACATGTTGGACTTAACATTATTTTCTCTCAATCTGCTTGTAGTTTTTTTTTTCTTTTCATAATTGGTTTTGTAAAAAAAAAAAAAAAAAGAAAAGAAAAAGAAATATATACAGGTGCACAGAGGGCATACCCTCAGTAAACATTACTGGAAAGAAATCTGCTTGTAGTTTATCTGTTTATGTATATTCAATTCCCATCAGTTGACCCCTCAGCTTCTGGGCATTCTACAACGACATAAAATGATGTTTGTCTAGATTAAATCTCGATCTTTCTTTTAGTGTTGGTAGCTCTTTTCAACAACATTCATTGACCCACAGATTGTTCTGATGGCAGATCTTTTATTTATATTTTAACTGAGGTACTAAAAATAGAGTTGATCTATACTAATCATCTTGCCATCTTGGTGTAGGTATAGCAGATAGAGAAACTAGAAATAATATTTTTACAACTAATAAGAACTCAAACACATGTTTAGAACAGTGGTCCGTCTACGTATGTGTGTTTGTTTGTGCATTAATGTGTATATGATTGTGAGTGTGAAATTTTAAGCATTATGGTTTCTCCAATTCTTATGAAATTGACTGAAAGTAAAGGTTTTCTAATTGAAATTGACAGGTGGGGGCTTAGAAGTTAGTTTCATTAGCATGAACTTGTTGATTGTCAAAAAAAATCTTGCACACAACCTGCTTTAATGGGCTGCTTTCACTCGAAGAACACTAGACGGGTACCTGGGTATGAGGAACCTACTGTTCTTGCTGCCGAAACAATTTGTGAGTATGAATCATTAAATATATAGTTTTCACATGCTTCATTTCTGGTCATGAACAATCAGGTTCTATTTACATTTTCATTGGTGGTGTTTATCAGCACACATAAAGCTTCTTTATTTTTTATTTTTGCAAAATTGAATTTTTTTTTTTGTCAAAATCTTGGCGGTCAAACTTAGTTTTTAGTTTTTTTTTTTTAATTATCAAATATGGTATCTCAACTGAACAAGGAACAAACCAAGAAATTCAATGGAACTTAATGGTGGAAGAAAAGAAAAAAGCCTGTCTCATGTTGAAGAAGATAATGTAAGTGCGGAACTAAGTTCCACTTTAGGATAGTATGATGTTGTGGCCCGAATTTGATGCTTATGACCCGATGACCTGCAGGAAAATTTTGATCCGTTTTTTGCTCATGGGTCGTGGACCCTAATTAGTCTCTTGTAGCCTAATACATAAGGGCGCTTAGGGTTTGGAGTGGTGTAAGAAAGAGACTCTGAAATCCATGAAAACTTGTAATCTCCGATTTTACACATAGTGAAAACTTTCGCTGGATCCCAACCGTGGACGTAGCTTGTTACCGAACCACGTATAAATGTTCTTTGTGTGCAACAGATTCTTGGTTCTATCTTGGGTTCGTTGCGTTTGTCATAACAGATTGTATAGGGGGGTCTTAGCTAGAAGTTAATCACACGTCCACATGAATAAAATCAATAATTTGGTTCTCCAGAACTACCACTTTGACGGTAGTATAGTGGGGTCTTAGCTAGAAGTTTCTCACACATTCACATATAACCATTCATCTTGACTTGTTACAATCGCGAGGTAAATTAAGATTAATACAAGGTAGACTGTTAGAAATCTAACATATAATTTGATCTTTGCAGTCAATGTGAGTGAAGTACAGGCCTTGTATCAGCTATTCAAAAAATTAAGCAGTTCTATTTTTGATGATGGAATTATTCACAAGGTATGTTTTCTAGAGGTCTTGTTAGTTACTATATGGGGCTTAGGAATTATATCATATTGAATATCTATTTCCTCTGCAATTTGTCATCAGGAGGAGTTCCAGCTTGCTCTCTTCAGGAACAGAAATAAGAGGAATCTCTTCGCAGACAGGGTATGCAATGTTGGCTCCTTTTCTCATGAGTTTGTGATTCTTATCTGTCACAAAAAAAGTACTGTGCAAACCGACGAAGTAGAAGCTAAATTGATTGAATGGGTAAAGCAAAAGGGCAAATACAATTGCTGAGAAGTATGAATATTTTACTCTGTAGTACATGCATATATATAATAGAGAAAACCTAACAGCATAAGGAAAACTAAAAACAATCCCAGAACTAGTTATCTCTAAAAAATAGGATATGAAATCTAATCACCAAAACTACTAAACACAAAAAATCAGAAGAATCAGAGTCCAGTTCAACCACCAACAAAAAGCCTGAAATACTCAACAGTCTTCCTATAAGAATGGAAAACTCGATTTTGGGGTACTAAATGATGGAATTTGGCCAAAAAAGGATGTATATCAGGACCAAAGCTTATGAGTATTGATCGTTGGCCTGTTTCTGATCGGAAATGAGTCTCTCCGGGTTGAATCAGAATCGTTGAAACTGTCACGAAAAAATGTCAGCCCACCCGTTTGGCCTTCAGGCGGTCCAAACAATCCCCATAGTCATCCGCAGCCCATTCTACGTCACAAATTTTATTGCTGAACTGAATATTACGATGTATTTATATCTCTGCTCGAAAGATGTCTGCCATATAACTTTAATGTTACCATCTGCTGCTATTTGCAGTAATACAGATTTATCCAAGCTACTCTTATATTTGCAGTAATACAGATTTATCTTTGTTGAATGTTTATGCAGATATTTGACTTGTTTGATATCAAACGCAATGGGGTTATTGAGTTTGGAGAGTTTGTTCGATCACTGAGCGTCTTTCATCCAAATGCACCTGTAGCAGACAAAATTGATTGTAAGAATCAGTTTCTGATAACACAGAATTTTATATTGTTAGCTTTTATATCTTGCCTTTTTTAACTTTAAATTTGTGATTAAAGGGAGTCTCCTGCTATTCGATTGAATTCATTCTGTCTTCTAAGATAGGATATTTCTTTTGGCAGATGCATTTAGATTATATGATCTAAGGCAAACTGGATATATTGAGTGGGAAGAGGTATATATTGCAAAGAATTCCTTCATAATTTGTCCGCACTGTTTTTTATTTTTATTTTTAAAATTTTTTACATTGCATTAAAATCTAGATACCTTCAATTCGATATAGTTTGGTGACCAATTCTCCCACCAGAAGAAAATCAAATTTCTTCCAGTAACGGGGCAGTCTTCTCAGCCATTCATGTGGTTTCTTGTTAACAACCCTAGTTATGAAAATTCTCCCTTGTTGCCAATTATGGATTTTAGCTTTTAAGATTTAGCTGTTTTTGTAGTTATTTAAGCCCTTTGAAGGCTATTCGATTGAGAAATGTCGAGAACCAATGTTGAGTTTGTGGTCTTGAAGATAATGTTTTCCAAACTCCCTTCTCCTTCTTATGCTTATACTTTTGCTGTTTTGGGTTACCTGACAGTTGAGGGAAATGGTTTTGGCTCTCCTGCATGAATCAGATCTGACTCTTTCAGAGGATGTTGTTAAAACAATTGTGGATAAGGTGCAGATTACTCTAACTTGTCCCCTGCCCAGATATGCTTTTATGTTAGCATATATGATAAACATTTTATAATCTACATATTCATGAGTTTATTAATTTGGCCACAGACATTCAGCGAAGCAGATACAAAAGGTGATGGAAAGATTGATAAAGAAGAGTGGAAGGAGTTTGTATCAAAGAATCCTTCTCTTCTGAAGAACTTGACTCTTCCATATTTGAAGTGAGTAGTGGCTGTTTGTGTCACCGATTTTAAAGCTAGGTTCTCTTGGGAATCAAGCATAAATTTGCTTACATAGGTCAGTTTTGACTACTATCTATAAAGGAGAATGCTAAGTGCTGTCGCGTGACTGAACTATCTCAACCCTTGGATCATGTGGCCCCATTGTGGGATCCACATTATCAAAGGGCTGAGCTTGTACAGTCACGACTGTGCATAGCACAACTCATCTATAAATTACCCACAATTCTGGTTTGACTGGGTGATTAAATTCATTTCTCTTCACAAATTTTTTTTTAGAAACTCCATATTTACATATCTTATAAGGCCAATACGTCATATTACTACCAAATTGATCGTATTTACTGATCTCTCTAATTGCTCAGACCCATGAGTCAATACTTTCAAGTTCTGAATCAATGATTCAAGAGCTTATGTCACTATTCATGGTATTTGGAATCTTACAGTTTCTTTGAACATGCCCTTTTGTTTTATCATTATTATATCCTTTTTCAGGGATATAACCCTAGCATTTCCGAGTTTTGTGGTGAGCCCTGATGTTGAAGATTCAGAAGTATAGTTACTAGAAAAGGTTAAGAATTTCATGTGTTGCGATGATGAATGCTTTTGAGTTTTGAGTGACTATCTCCTATAAGGAAGAACTTGGAATTTGCATAATCTGATGGTTAAGACGACGCTACAAGGACAGCCTAGTTGCCAAGCAAGATGGTTCACAAGACTTGCTTTTCTCTTCTGCTGTATAAAAGTTATGTGTATTGCCTGTATTAAGCTTTTTCACAGTGTTCAAGTGGCAAGGCTTTCAAAGCGCCTTCCTCGATGCTTGGGCTCGAGTCTTACACTTCACGAGGCAGTGCAACGGCTTATGCGCTGTGAGATCAATCCAACAACACTGAAATCACGTCGTAGAAGTCTCTCTGGTCAGACACTACAGGGAGGTGCCATGCAATCCGGCCCTAAAACTCTTCATTTGTCGATCGCAGAATAATTGGAAATGGATTTGCCTTTTTCTCCTACAACATTATACTTGAAACATCTGTATATAATGAGGCATGTATTGTCCTTGTAGCGAAATATTTGTCAATATAGGTTGATTTTACCTACAAAATTGTGCTGTATGATAACCTTTGTTTTTTCCTCCTTACGAATGGATAATCAATTACAGAATTGTTGGACATGGATTGTTTTTTTCTCCTAAATGTTACACACACGTGTTTTTTGGATGATATCTATAGTGATAAAACATATGTTTTTCATTACCGAATGATGAATTCCTGTATTCAAATTCATGTTCTTCGATTTTATTGAACCTCAATGCTATATCAACAATCAAGCCCCTTTTTTTCAATAGAGCCTAGGCTTTTGAAGGGTTCTCTTAAGAATTCAGTAATTGGTGCTCCTAAAAGTGAATCAAGCAGAGTCAAAGACAGCAAGCAGAAATGAAAAATGTATAGAATTGGTACTAATTGGAACCAGAATTCACATCACTTATTCAACTCACATCATTCCGTGCCTACATCGCTTAACAAAACACCGCTTATGCAATAAATTTACATCACAGCGTGTCGCATTAACAATCTAAATGCAGCACATCCCACAATTAAATCTACCAAACACAGAAAGAATATAGAAATACAACCAAACAACACAAATCACAATATTGCCAAACAATAACATGCCAAAATTCAACGACATACAAAATAGCATTTTAGCATAGAACCTCAAGTAACAGTATCAACAAAGCCAATAGCATCACCATCTGCTGATCATATTCACAGAATACAGATGGCAGTTACCGATCATTCTAATGCACTGAATAACAGTTGTTATAAAAGGAAACAACTCCAGTTGCCCAGTAGAGAATACGCCTACAAGTATAGTTTCTAACTATTACAGTAATGATGAAACATCAGCTCTTAGAAGTTAGAACGCCCCTCAACCGGTAAAAAGATCCTCCAGTAAATGCCCCTGAAAAAAAAAAAAAAAAAAACAGATACCATGAAATCAAAAACTGCAGCATATAATAATTATTGAAAGAATATCAGTTTGCACATAATAATTATTGAAGAGTATCAGTGCAAACACACACACATTACTAGAATAATAGCTACACTAGAGTCCAAACCCGATCTACTTCCAATCCTAAAAGATTACAAGGAATGAGCTGTACTAATATTCCAATGATCTGCTTAAGAACTAGCAAGAGAATTGTCCCTGAGACGAACTGATACTAATCTGAACCCGGTGGAGTCGTTAATTCACTTCTTAGTTCCAGATTTGACAAATTCAAATAATAGATTATGGACACTGATCCCCTCAGCTCCAACGGTAAAGAGTTCCAAGGCACAAGAGGGTGTTGTAGTTTCCTCATCACATTTTATTAACTCAACAAACTCCCATAGGGTATGTTTGGATTGAGAGATTTGGAGGGATAGTAAGAGAAAAGAAAAGAAAAGAAAAGAAAGGATAGTGTAAATTGTGTTTGGGTAGGTTAAAATAAGATAAAAGAAAGGATATCCCTCCCTGTCTCTCCTTTTTTATCTCTTCAAAAATGAGAAGATAGGGAGAGAAATGATGGTGTTTAAGTAGTATTTTAATAATTTCGAAACTATCATTAACAATTAAAAGAAAGAAATTATTATTCCACTCATATCCCATCTATTTTAAAGGATATGATAGTAATTTCATTATTATCATTTCTCTTCTTTTCTACTCTCTATCATATCCAAACAAGAATACTATACTTTCATTTCTATCTATCTAAACATAAATAGAAATTATTGCTATCTTTTCTTTTCTTTTCTTTTCTCTCATAACTAATACTATCATTTCTTTTCTTCTCTCTCCTACTTATCCAAGCACACCCATAGAGACGAGGGTGATAAGAACTAATACAAAACAAACCACTCTTCCAAACAACCACCAATAAAAAAAAAAAAAACTCAACAAAAATTGCCAAAACCCACACACAAGAATCAAAAATACAAAAAGCAGAACTGTCAGAAACCAAACAAAGCAGGAGCAAGAGATCTTGATATCTGAATAAGCACTGCACTCATAAGAGACCCAAGCATTAAAAGAAAACAAATCACTAGACCAGCAAGCAACCAGCCCATCCGAGCTCCCAAAAATGACAAGCATAAAAGGGCCAGCTCTGATTATTATGGCAACTCCCAAATGCAGGTTCAAGATTGTAAGCATGTGCCTTATCCCATCTTCAGCTATAACATCAGGTGTGTGAGCTCAGGAGACAAGACAGGCTGAAAATAGATGCGCCATAACTTCAAGCATAGAGCAAGAATTTATGTCCCCACTACTTGGTTATGCTATGATTCTGCCAGCAAGAATTTATCAAACCAAAAACATTAAAAAAAGAAAAGGGTTAAATACAATCACCTTCCCCGAGGTTTGGCCTATTTGCAACCGGAAGAAACTTATGCATTTTTTGGCAGTGAGTTCATGAGGTTTGACCCGTTTTAACAAAGACCCCCCAGTAGAAAATTCAGTTGCTTTTGTCAAAAAATTTGGTTGAAGTGACAGAAATACCCATCAACGAAGTGGAAAAGACCCATTTACCCTTATAGTGTCATGAAATGACAAAAAAAAAAAAAAATAATGTTTTAATGGACCAAAATACCCCTTATATGTTCATGACCACAACAGCTAAATTAAAACCAAATAAAACTCAAATGTGAATGCAAATGCAAATGGGTTTATCATACACACACACACGCACATTATAGACAAAATGTAGACGCTACACGTGCTCTTGAAGACCCATTTCGTGAGAGGGATTGCACTGTGCATTGAAGGCCCATCTCGTGAGTAGAGGGGAAGATTGGACTGCTCTAGAAGAAAAGAAAAAATGAATTCCAAAATTTCTATCTTGATTTGGATTTCCCTGACATTGTTTCTCAATCACAGCCACTATACTTCGAGAAATACCACACCAATACAAACCCTTTTCTCAAATCTTTTTCACATTCTGTTAACATAAAACAATAACAAAATCAAAGTGAATTTGTTTTAAAAAAAAATGAAATTTTTGTATAAAAGTAATGTTTATAGAGCTAGAAAGAGATACTATATAATCAATATTTATATATATATATATATATATATATATATATGCTGTTAAATTTTTTTTTGATAAGTATATATGCTGTTAAATTTTGTAGAATGGTGTTTGAGACTTGAGAGAGTTGGGAAGAACTCAGGTCCAAGTGATTCTCCTATGGTACAAACCCCATTTGACCACTTCTTTCACCCCTTCCCTTCACTGTTCCAATTTAACTATCTCCCAGGTTTTAAAAAAAAAACCATCTCCCAGGTATTTCTTCTCTCTCTACATATATATATGTATTTTATGTTCATATAGCTTCCAATTACACATGCACACACACACACACACAGATATATATATATATATATATATATATATATATATTTCTATTTTGAATCTTAAATTTTCATGAGATAAATGAAAGAACCATTTCAACCTGCAACTCAAGATAATATCAGGTTTAATGAGTGGAGAGAATGAAGAGAGAACGTGTATAGAACCAACTAGTTTTTGAAGGGTGCACAGAAAACCCTAATTGGAGAGTGTGCAAGAGAGACCGTCCGTAAAGTCTTGGAATGATTATATCTGACATAAGTGTCTTTAATGTGAGTGGATAAAAGGGTAATTTGCCATAGCCAAATATTTCAGTTTTTTTAACAATATAATAATAGGGTAAAAGAGTAAAATCACTCCAAAAAGTAACCCAATCTGTCAAAGTAGGGTCATTACCAAAAAAAAAAAAATTTGACAAAAGTTTTCACTGGTTGCAATTACGCCAGACCTAACGAGAGGTCATTATATTTTATCCAAACAAAAAAGGCTCTCCTATTCTATAAAACATGATGCAAGTTAGCATACAAACCTCAAAAATCAGTGCAAGTGCTTCTTCTACCCGTGAACAAAAATGTTGGACACAACTTATATTCTTTTTCATTGCAAGTTCCAATTCTTATATGGAAATGATTAAGTAGTTTGGCAAAACCAACTCCTTAAAACCAATCGTACTTTGTATTGCATTGAGTCCTTTTAGGTGCAATGAATTCAAATAAACTTGAACTGAATGTTGGACACAACTTATATTCTTTTTCATTGCAAGTTCCAATTCTTTATACGGAAAAGATTAAGTAGTTTGGCAAAACCAATCGTACTTTGAATTGCATTTAGGTGCAATGAATTCAAATAAACTTGAACTGAATGTTGGACCACCCTACTCTGCAATTCATGTTTATCTTGTGAAATTGTGTTGATGACTAGTGTGAATGAAATTGCAATTACTTTTAACCATTTAAAGCTAAGTAATTAAAAAAATAATAATAAAATAGCAAATGAACTTGGAATATAATGCAAAATCGCAGTAAAACCATTACCAAGAAGCTGTCAAACCTTGACAGCGTCACTGTCAACAATCTATTCCAAGCTCTCTTTTGCGTACTCAGCTTCGAGGAGATCCATAAACATCTATCAGGAAGAAAACAAAAAGGATTAACAAAAATAATTAACTAATCAAAAAATGTTTAGAATTATACACCATACTATACTATTAATCACCCGAGAAACAAGTGCAGTAATAAAAGCCACCATATAGGCCAAGAACTTCAGTACATGCCCATTGTTTTTCTCAAAGAGAGAATGGACCGAGCTGTCGAGGAAAAACAGGAGTATCACAAACAGCAGTTGAGACCTATCACGGGCACGAATCAGGAGCATGAAGTAGATGATAAACAACGCGGTGAAGGAACAGAGCAGGATGTGGAAGATGAGTGATGCCTGGTATTTGAAAAGTAGTAACTCTTGAACCATCGCTGCCAGAGCTGTGAGTATCCAACTTAGGGCTGCAAGTTGGGTTGGCCCAACCTAGCCCAGTCCCAACCCAACTTCAACCCGAATCGGGTTGGGTTGGACCAACCCGAATTGTACCTAACATGGGTTAAGGTCAAAATTCAGCCCGAATATTTTCGGGTCAGTCGGGTCGAGTTGACGGGTCGAGTTTTTTTTTATATAATTTTATAAAAAACAAATTTTTTTTAGGGCAAATCATTTCAGCCTCCCCTCCTCCAGGTCTCTCATTCTCAACTCTCTCTCTTTCTCTACAATTGCAAAACTACAACTGTGTACAAAATATTTATTTAATTTCAT